CTACATCTTGTTAGGGGGGAGATTTAAACTTCCCCCCTCCGCGACGAAGCGAGGGGACACAGCCCCGCTTCGCCGCCTTTGGACCGAAGTCCTAGGTCAAACACTCCCTAGAAGGTGGACCCATCCTCTTAAATTGGCCATAGCTCAATGCTATGGCCCTCCCCCCCGTACGCCCCTGGGTTGACCCTACCAAGCTCTTACTTGAGCTTGGGGGAAGCAGGCCCAGGGCGGGCCTTCTTCTTGACTCCCCTCCCCCCGATCCGAGCAGGGCTGCAAGCGCCCTGCTTGGATCCATCTTCAGCCCCGTAGCGGATGCTGAAAATGTAGATGTTGGGACTGGGGGAACATTTTCCTATTTAGTTGAGGAGAATCCAAGTGGTGACAACTATGTAAGTATCCTAATTGCCTTAATAACGATATGAAAATCAGTCACAACTTAATTTCTTATATTTGGTAAATTGTCCGCGTGCAAGCAGAACAAGTTGCTTTGTAGCAATCGAACGCAGAGCAAAGCCTGAGAGCGGCTATGCCATTGTAGTTTTTTACGACAGTTTCAATTACTGGTTTTAGCCGTATTTCTACAAAAGTGGAACTCAAAAGCCGTTCTCCATGAAACTCAAGTAACAGGTCTTGTGGAACTGATCAGTCATGTTAATCGATTGACTGATTTAACTCTGCAATTGGTCAATTCCACAAGATCTGCTTCTTGCGTTTAATGTAGAACGGCCTTTGAGTTCCACTTTTGTGGAAATACGGCTAAAACCAGCGGCTGAAACCGTCGTAAAAAACTAAAAACAATGGCATGGCCGCTCTCAGGCTTCTCTCTGATCGAACGTGATTTTGTTCTTACTTTTGGAATCAACAATATAGTACATGTGACATTAACAATAGAGTTTCGTATACAAAAATTTTCAAAAATTAAAGCTCTAGGCTGTGTCTAGTTAAGCAAAAAGGAACGAACAAATGCAGGAGATGCAAAAAAATACAGGAATTGTAATGCAGAAATAGCAGGAATTAAAGAAGTCAAGAAAGTGCAAAAGAAAAAATGAGAAGGTGTCTCTCCGATTTGTTGTGGAGCATGCACAGTAGCAGACAGTTGTCTGCACCTTCTCGACTTCTTTCAATTCCTGCTATTCCTGCATTTCAATTCTTGTATTTCTTGCATTTTCTGCATTTGTTTGTTCCCTCTTGCTTAACTGAACACAGCCCTGGACTGTTATGTTGAAAAAGTAGTTATCACAAGTAAGAATACACTTGATTCAATTAGAGAAGAGAATTTCGACGAACCAAAACTCGTCCGTTTCGCGCACCTTCCCTACTAAAAAGTCTTCTTACTTCACAGCCATTGGCTGTCAGCAAGTGTTCTACCAATCCCGCACGCAACGCTATCTCTACTTTGCCCGCTTTTCTTCCTTTTTGCCCAGTAAAATTCTCTTCTCTAATTGAATTGAGTGTAGTTCATTATGTACAAATAAACAAATATGGGAAATAATGGGAATTGTGGCAAGCCTAGTTGGGAATAGAGATAACCAATTGTAAAAAAATAATTGATTTCGAAAAAATTCGATTTTTCAAATAATCGATTGTGTTAGATCGATTATTTGTAAACTAATCGGAAAATAATTGATTATCTGTTTTCTTTTTAAACCAAATAAAGACAATAAAAAAATTATTTTAAACATCTTATTTAGTAGAAAATACCGAAATATTTAAAAGAAAAGTCGCATTGCGTTACGTTCTTTGTACCTAAAACATAAATGAAAATAATTATTAGGTAATGCAAGTCACAAAATGAATAAAAAAATATAATTATTATTAGATATAATTATACATATATCACCTGAACCATTATAGCGTAAACATACAGCATGCGTGTATACTCATTAGTCTTATTTCAAATATGTTCATTATCTCAACAAAGATGGAAAGTAAGGTAAATGTCCCAATGGCCGGACGCGTCTGAGTATTCAGACATCGGTTTAAATTATCAAAATTATAATGTATAACATTTCAAGATATAATAAAAAAACTATTTAAAAAGACTTTAAAACATCTTATTTTTATAAAATCAAAAAATATTTTTTTCACGGTAACTAAAATAGGAGAAAACAAATATTAATATCGAG